TTTTCCAGGTATATAGAACAAAAGTCAAGGACAAACTTGGGCCTTTAAAGTCAGGGAGGGGAGAAGTGATAAATGGCAGTGAAGAAATAAGTAAAGCATTGAACAACTACTTCTCATCAGTTTTCACAGAAGAAATTCGAGAAGGAAATTCCAGAGGTGGAACTGATATTTAGGGGAAAGGAAGAAGAGAAATTAAAGAATATTACTATCAGAAAAGAGGATGTTCTTAAGAGGATGAATAAACTAAAGAAGACAAAATCCCGAGGGCCGGATGAAATTTTCCCTCGAGTCTTGAAAGAGTGTTGGGAACAGATTAGTGGACCCCTTGTAAATTTATTTACAAAATCATTAGACACCGGAGTTGTGCCAGACTTGTGGAAACAGGCAAATGTAGTACCCATATTCAAAAAGGGAGACAGAGCATCAGCGTCAAATTACCGGCCGATCAGTTTGACATCAGTAGTGGGGAAATTTCTTGAATCAATTATAGACGGATAGCATCAGATTGCATCTAGAGAAAAGCAAATTAATCTACGACTCGCAACAGGGGTTTACAAAGGTAAAATCTTGTCTAACAAATCTGCTGACTGTTTTTAGGAAAATCTTCGAGGTAGTAGATAATAACGAAAATTACGATGTTATTTACTTAGACTTTAGCAAAGCATTTGACAGAGTACCGCTTCAGAGGCTTCTGAGAAAAATTAAGGCTCATGGTATCGAGGGGAAAGTTTTAAATTGGATAAAATCATGGCTCACCGATAGAACGCAGAGGGTCAGCGTAGATGGTGTTAAATCTGAGTGGGGTCGTCGATATATTTCCAGCGAGCAGGGTTTCTCTTGGGGCATCATTGATAAGCATAATGAAGCAGAGCGGTCCTATCTTGGGGCCTTGGGGGACGCCGCACGTGAGTGACTGAAAAGTGGAAACAGCCCCTCGGAATCGTACTACTTGGAGTCGGTCACTAAGCAAGTCTGTAAGCCATGGTACAAGACTTCTTCGAAACCCGAGGTCGATAGCTTTGTTGATGATTAAATTGTGGTCGACTAGGTCAAATGTTTTGGCGAAGTCAATGATGGCGACAGCCACAGACGTTTTTCGTTTTTTCCAGATGGCGGTATATGTAGTCGAGAAAGCAGACTAGACAGTGAGTGGTGGAGGGAGTTTTCAGATTGCCAGATTGCTGAGGATCTATGGCACCTGTAATATCAGCAAAAGCCCAGTCATACACGAAACTTTCACAGATTAAGCTGGGTATTGGGTGATTGCAATGGGCCGTAGCTCATTTAAGCATTGTGGGCTGGTTGACTTCGGCACTGGTGACACGTATGAGGTCTTCCAGTCAGCTGGGCAACTTGCTTGGCTGAGGGAAGCATTGATGATGGAGCAGAGGGGTTTAGCTAGTTCTGGGGAGAACTCCTTGTAGAGTTTCATTGGTAAGTCAATAGGGGTGGTGGATCGCTTTAACTTCAGTTTGTCCAGACGTTTTACTACTTCAAATTCTTTTACTAAGTCAGTGGGAAAGGGGGCTGGTAGGTGAGCAGGAAGGTTGGTTGTGTCAAGCCTAGGGATCGTCTGGCATATAGTTCAAAATGGTTGTTTGATTGCTCAGCTGCGTCAACATTAGTGAGATGGCTAATGAAAGGGAGGGGGTGTGTCTTATTATTTAGTCCACAGAGTTCTTTAAGCTTACCATACCACTGACTGTTGTTGGTCTGCTTCAGGTGTTGCAACTTGGTTTAGTTCTGAGACTTCTTTGCAGTGTGTATTTCGCGGATGACTTGGTTGCGAAGGGACCTGTAGCAGTTGTGATCATTGAGATAAAAGGCGCTGTCTCTCTGCTGCATAAGTCTTTTGATCCGAGGTGTGATCCAGGGCAAGTCAGCTGGGTGTGATCTGATGGACTTCTCGGGGAAGAAGTGATGGTGAACTTCTGTGGTGGTATTGGTATAATTTATCCATTTGGTGTCCACATCATCCACACTAAGTTCTTCAGTCCAGGGATGGTGATCTATCAACTGCCCGAAGAGATGCACTGCAGAGTCAGTAATCGGCCTGTAGGTCTTGATGTAGGGTCTCTGCACTTGGCTGGTAGTGGCAGCTGGAGACCAGAGCACTGATAGGTGTGTGCTACACCCGATAGGAGGCATTGGTTGAGGTGGTTGGTACTCTGTCCGCTAAGTCAGTTAAGATAAGGTCAATGGTATTTTGACCGTGTGTGGGAAAGTTCACAACTTATGATAGTAGCAACTGGTCCTGGATATCAGTGGTGTCAATTTCGTTATAATCCCCGCATAATACTAAATTGGCTCATGGGTACCTAACTCTGAGGTGGTCAGAGGCGGTAATGAAGTGATTGATAAGAGTGTCTCTGGTGGGTGAGCGAGGTGGATGGTATGCCACACAGTACATAATAGAAGCAGTGTGACGCGGGTGGGCCCGTGGCACGACCGGTACCCATAATGCCTCCACATCAGCTGGGACTAGAACATCCAGGCGTAGTTTATCTTGACAGAGGAGGGCAACTCCCCTTCCGAGAAAGACATGATATCCCAATACGGCACTTTTCAGGAACAATTTGCCAAGCTTCACATATGGCAACTACATTGGCAGTGATTGATCGGACTGTGGTTGCCAGTTCGTCAAATTTATTAGCTAAGGAAGTGAGGTTGGAGAGCAGTAAATACGGGAGACCATACCATATTTGTGGAGCTTCAGTGTATTGGTATTGTCTGTCAGGAGTATGGTTCCCTGGTTTTCTAGTGGTGGTGATTGTCCTAATGGGGGTTTTGTTTATGACGCCCATGTCTACGGCTACGCGCGTGGAATATGTTTAGTGACTTGAGTCGCGCGATAACACTGCCATCAGGATAACCGTTCCTACGCCTTAGAAGGTACAGATAGCGTCGGGAGTAAGTAATTGGTGGACAGCTGTTGATATCTGTTGTTGTGGACGGACGGAAGTGTTTGTCCGCTGTGGCCATAAACTCACTGGCTGCGCTTTGAGGGCCTCCGACATTGGTAGGCATTCGTTAAAATTTGTCTAGTCGTAAACACCGCCAGTCCTTGTCTTCCGCACTTGAGGGGTCGCCGACACAGTACCCATGGTATCCGTAAACACCGCGGTGGTCCTTGTCAGTGGCACTTTGAAGGTGATCGACAAAGTGCCCACGGTCTGGTGTTACACTGTTGTGTTTTTGTGTTTTTCCTTGGAAGACACTATCGGATCACTGTTTGGTAACCAATCATTGCACTGATCACTTGAATGTTTTGCTGATAAATCGCGGTGTAGTGAGGTTGGTAGGGAGTTGGGATATAACAGGGGGGTGGGGGTAGGGCCAAACAGACTTGGCCTGGCTGACAATCAGGAACGCCTACAAAACACGTCTTGTCTCACTGAGGGCTGACTGATGTGTGTGTGTGTGTGTGTCGCCAGCCTCATTACTCGTGGTCCCCTAGTACTGTATAGTAAAGTGCAAGTATTTGTCAGCTGAAAAGTTTTGGACGAAGAGGCTTCCTGAAAATGGATAATTGCATAAAGTGTTTAAGGAAAATACGTAATAAACCATACTTCTTGTGTCTGTTTCTACAAGTCCCTTAACGTTATTAAGTCCACAAACAAGCTTTCAATATGTCACCATTCTCCTACAATCACCATATAACTTTCAGCTATAACTCAATAAATACGTCGGCTCATCACTCACGGCACCCACCACACAGTCACTCAGCCATTTGCCTGAGTGTCCAAGTTCTCCTCATTTACTCTCATTAATCATATTGAAAATTTTTCAAAATATCTAAATTTCATATTAAGAATACTCACATCTTTCGTGAAGTAGATTTTAGATTGACAGATATTTTATTGAACTCAGTAACACATAACAGTTTTGTTTGGGCCGGGGTTTGATATCAAACGATCTCACTTGTTAACACTTGCCTGAATGAGTGCAGAGTAGTCGCTGGTACCTTTGATGAAGCTGGGTGAGATAATAGGTAGTCTCACAGCGTGTCACCTTTGATACAGTCGTAGTTTTGAGTCATTGAGTCGTCCAAGCCCACCTGGGTTACACTTGTAATTATCTTAGCTTGTAAGTATACACAGGTTCTGTTATCTTCATTTGTGGTTCCTTGGTTTAATGTAAACACACGTGGTGATTTTCTAGTTATATTGGATGCTCTGGTAGTTACAGAATTGTTTGTTGACAGACTACTGAGCATTAGCTATTAGCTTGTAATTAGCTGGTAGAATTAGAGAGAGATACAGCCTTGGGAGCTATGCTCACACACGTCTCTTTGGTACGGTGTCTGGCTGTGAACTAAGGGAAACTGTGAACTAGGCGAACCTCTCTCTGTCTGCTTGTAAGGGGGTATGTAATCTATACGTCAACACAGAGATAAGAGGCTACACTCAACAGGCCTACTCTCACGGAGGTCTGGGGACATATATTTATGGGTTGTAACCTGTATCTGTGTGAAACTACAAATGTTTATGTGTGCTGTCCACCCTAGGAGGTGTAACAGAACAAATGCTTATGGAGCTTTATGCTCAATAGTCTGGGTGATAGAATGTATATAATGAATATATGTCCTTAGCCCATATTTATTATATAATACTGATTGATAGGGGCTAGAACAGTTCACAGTCATTGATTTATTTACAGTTTTTCTTTACTGCTTAACCTGAGGTGATTATGTCTTACGTCTAGTCCTTTTCAGCCCCCAATTTTCCTCTCCCCTCTCTCCTCTCTCTTTCCAAGCTCCTCTCCTCTCACCCTTCTTTCCTCTCTTATCCCGAGCTCCCCTCCCCTTTCCCACCCCCCCCCCTATTCTCCACTCCTCTTCGCTACTTCCTTTCCCCCCCTCTTCCCCTACCATGCCTCCAATTCTCAAGGTGTTGTACCCTACCATCTCGCCGCTTCCCCCATCCCTCTTCCCCCCTCTCTCTCTCTCTCTCTCTCTCTCTCTCTCTCTCTCTCTCTCACCATAGTTTTCTCACCTACAGGAATGAGGTACTAGAGGTGGACAAGTCAACAGGTATCGGGGACCTGGGACCTGTTAAGGGTTCACTGCCCTTGTGTTTGTGTTCTGTCTTCTTCCTCGTCTACTTTTCATTATGGAAAGGCGTCAAGTCTTCTGGAAAGGTGAGTTTAAGGAGAGAGAGAGGGAGGAGGTGAGAGGAGGAGAGTGGAGAGAAGAGGAGGAGGAAGGAGGAGAGAGGAGGATAAACAGAGGGAGGAAGAGGAACGTAGAGACGGAGACACACACACACATACAAATATATATACCCCTGTATATATATATATATATATATATATATATATATATATATATATATATATATATATATATATATATATATATATATATATATATATATATATATATATATATATATACCAGTCAGTACTGGACTTTATTTTCTCACTTGACTTGGGGTCTATTAAAGGTTAATAGATGGTAATGGCAGGTGGGCCTTGAGAAAAATCGAACCAGCACAAGAACACTTAAATCTACTAAACAAAATGAATTGTCCGTGACCCGTGGAAGGATAGCGTCTGTGACTGGGATGAATGAGACACACTGTAAGAACACTTATATTCCTCCAACACTACAAACACAATCAAATAATGGTACCAATATGCACCTCTTAACTTGAACTTAAAACACTACTCTGGGGAATAAAAGTTATACATGATATAGAAATTATTAGAAACTCAGGCAACAATAAATTTGAAGTATAAGAAATGTTGCTTGCACACATGAAGAGGCCTTAGGAGCTTTCAATAAAATAATATCCAGCACTGAGAAAATGGTATTCAAAAATAAGAAATTAATAATTCCACCATGAATAGGCCTAAAGGACTCAATATAATTATGTTACACCAACAGATGCAGGCCTTGGGTTTTCAACAAAATAATATCAGTCACTGAAATGATAAAAAATAGAAATTAAATACTCTACAATGAATAGGCCTTAAGGGCACTCAATATAATTATGTTACATAACAGATGCACACCTCTAACCTCTAGCAAACACTACTCTGAGGAACAAAGGTTATATTCAGAGATTGAAACTATAAAGAAATTTTAAATGCACACAGCATACATTAGTAACTGAAAAAATAATATTAACTACACACAAAATATTGTCACTATTATAAAGACGTTACTGGGTCCAATACCCGTGAACCATGTCCCTAACTAACACACACACAGATTCCACCTGCACTCCGTAGTCGTTTAAGGCACAACCAACAGGCACCCGTAGTTGAAGGCCCAAATCAGCCTTTCTCCACCTTGAAAGTGTACCTCTAACTCCTGACTCTTGGCCCAGTGTGCAGCCCTGTATCACTCAGCTGGCCTCACTCTTACCCCCAGTACATCCATGAAACGGAAGGGAGTGAGCCAATCAGACCTGTACAGTTGAAGAGCTTTAGCTTCCCGTTCAAAGGTTTCACTAGGCTGCTCGGGACATGTGGTGTTGTGAGCCGAGTGAGAGGCTGATGACCCCCACGATCGTCCTGTGATCAGCTGAACCCAGACAGCCTAGATTCCTCAAGAGATCCCTTTGATACCCAGCTAAACTGTGACAGGCCTACACTGATCTGTCCAATGGCGACAATCGCCACCCTCAATCATCATCTCTCAAGCAGATCAATCTCTCGCGGTCATCACTCTCCCAGTCAATTTCTCGCAGTCAAGTGGGTTCTGACGGAAACCACAAATGAACTCACTGTTAGCTCTTGTTAACTTTACCACTGCCCTATCTAACCCTGTCTGAGATCGAATGAGACTTACTTGTTATACTGCAATAGTGCAACACAGGTGACTAGGCACGTGACTATTTCTGTGGACGGACGCGCAGAGGATGTCCTGTAGGTCAATCAACTGCTTTGACTGTGAGGACAGCCAGCGTCGTCTCTCCAAGAAAGCGTACTTCACTAATAACTCCTTGGGACACACGTGACATTATTCAGACTGATAAACGATCTATAAACATAACATTCAATAATAGTCCCTTAACTTCACGAATCGCATCATTATTAATTCGGCAAATTACATTTAATATCTACGCCTTAGTTAGTTCCACAACCTCTCGCTATGCAGGGAGCGCCCTCCGACGACCTTAAAGCTCAGTATCGCTAATTGTGTGGGTGTTTGAAATTTGAAATTTCTGAATATTACATATATATATATATATATATATATATATATATATATATATATATATATATATATATATTTCATTAGCCCAATAAAGCACGTGGGATTCTACATATATATATATATATATATATATATATATATATATATATATATATATATATATATATATATATATATATATATAAATATATATAAATAATATATATATATATATATATTATATATATATATGGGAAGGAGGGGAGAGAGAGAGAGAGAGAGAGAGAGAGAGAGAGAGAGAGAGAGAGAGAGAGAGAGAGAGAGAGAGAGAGAGTTCGTCCATGACAATAGTTACACTCTGTTGCTCTTAACTGTGAGTGCCTGACCTACTCTTGTTTGTTGACGATATTACTTCCACCCACTTCTGGCCCACCCCAACCTCCTGCCCCACCCCGCCCATTCTTAGCCCACCCCGCCCACTTCTGGCCTATCCCATCCACTCCTGTCACATCCTGCCCATTCCTGGCCTACTTCGCCCACTCATGGCCTACCTTGCACTTCTGACCAACCCAGCCCACTCCTGACTCACCCCGTCCACTCTTGACAGACCCCTCCAATTTTTGGCCCACTTGGCCTACTCCTGGCCCACAAGGTCAATCCTGTCCCGCCTCATCCACCCCACCTATTCTTAACCCACCCTACTCACTCCTGGCTCATCCCACTCACTTCTGAACTAACCTACCCATTTCTGGCCCACCCCATCCACTCCTGGCCCACCCTACTCCCTTCTGGTTCAGCTCACCTACTCCTGGCCCACCCTACTCATTCTTGATCAACCCCACCTTTCCCTGTCACAACCCACCTTTCCTGGCCCACCCTACCCTTTCCTAGTCTACCCTACTCTCTCCTGGCCCACCCTACCTCTCCTAACCTAGACTACTCTCCTGGCCCACCCCACCTGCTCCTGGCCCACCTATCCTCCTGGCCCACCCTACCCTCCTCCTGGCTCACCCTACCCTTCCCTGGCCCACCCTACCCTCCTGGGCCCACCCTACCCTCCTGGCCCACCCTACCCTCTCCTGGTCCACTTACCTCTCCTGGCCCACTTACCCTCCTGGCCCACCCTACCCTCTCCCTGGCCCACCCCACCTCCTGGCCCACCCTACCCCTCTCCTGGCCCACCCTACCCTCCCTGCTCCACCCTACCCTCTCCTGGCCCACCCTACCCTCTCCTGCTCCACCCCACCCTCCTGGGCCCATCCTACCCTCCTGGCCCCACCTCTACCCTCCTGGCTACCCTACCCTCTCCTGCTCCACCCCACCCTCCTGGCCCACCCTACCCTCCTGGCCCACCCTACCCCTCTCCTGGCCCACCCTACCCCTCTCCTGGCCCACCTCTCCCTCTCCTGGTCCACCCTACCCTCTCCTGGCCCACTCTACCCCTCTCCTGGCCCACCCTACCCTCTCCTACTCCACCCTACCCTTCCTGGCCCACCCTACCCTCTCCTGGTCCACCCTACCCTCTTCTGGCCCACCCTACCCTCTCCTGGGCCCACCCAACCCTCTCCTGGCTCACCCTACCCTCCTCCTGGCCCACCCTACCTCTCCTGGCCCAATTCACCCTCTCCTGGCCCACCCTACCCTCTCTCTGGCCCACCTTACCCACTCCTGGCTCACCCAGCACATCCTGCCCTCATCCACCTCTCACTCCTCGTCTGCCCAGAGAGAGAGGAGAGAGAGAGAGAGAGAGAGAGAGAGAGAGAGAGAGAGAGAGAGGTTTCTTCCCAATAGTTTCTTAAAGAAAGTAAACAGCATTGGTTCATTTCTTGGTTGGAGGAGCACCTACCATCCCTCACCCCACCAACTTACTGTATATAACCTCACGTCTTCACCTCCTACGTAAACAGTCATTGTGTGTATGTACAGTCAGCACTATATTATCCTGCACTTTTACGGGCTCCTACAGTATGACACACCGGACCAAGAATTCTGAAAACACCCATGAGTCAACGCAGATGTTGGTAGCCCTGGCTTCCTGAGTTGCCAGTTACTCTGTAGACAGTATTTACCATAAGGTGTTTCAATGTGTCTGCGTGTACATGTGTTTGCTCTGATGGTCTGCTCTTTGCAGATCGAAACTGCTCTGTTTCTAACAGATTCATTACATTCTTTTAAACGATCACACTTCCTTCGCGAAATTCTTTGCTACACTGTGTTAAATAAAACTGACAATGCTTTTGCTTTGTGAATTTTACTACCAGTAGCCCCCAGTCAACCTCTATTCTTATCATACATTGTGACATGTTAAAGATATATAGCTCGTATCTTAACTCCCACCTTTCCGATAGCTCTGTTACCTATGCGTAATGTTGCATAACTTTCCTACGTTACAAATGTTTCGTGTTGTTTTTTTCTGGTTGAGGTCTTGTATTATGCCACTTCTCATCACTTTCTCAGATAGTGGTTATAATCATGAGTATTTACACAATTTTGTTGCATCTCGTAGTATGCGAAATTCCTATACGGCACCTCAGTTTCTAGAATGCCTGCCATTCCTACCGTATGTGAGTGACTAAACGTAGTACTACTTATACACCGTATAGTATATAATGCTATGACATTATCTGGTTTAAGTGCTATGGGTTTTATATGTATTCCTGATAATTTCTCTGTGGTTACTACACATGATATAAGGATAACAGCACATTAGTTTTACAATGAATCACACAATCAGAAACACCAACCTTACCAATACATGGCGTTAGTCTCGCAGTGTTCGTTGCGAGAGCCATCACACTAAGGGGTGCAGAATAATTTTTTGCTGACTGTACTATTGTGTGTATGAAAGTATTGTGCGTGAATAAGTGTTTATGTGAGTTTATGTGTACGTTTTTAGTTTTGAATGTGGGTTAGTGATAGATGTCACATATGCATCCGCATCCAGTGAGCATCCACAATTTTTCACATTCTCATCTGCATCCTTATCTCTTAGAAG